GCTGCGGAGATCCTGGGGGCAGCCGCGACTTCGGCCTCGCCGCTCGCTCTTGCTCCTCATTCGGTTTCCTCTCGCCTCTGCCCCTCGGTACCCTTTTGGTGCCGCGCTCCCGCCGCCGCGCTCCGCCGTTTTTGCCCGGCACCGAGTCCAGGTGGGGAGGCAGTTGGCGTGCGGAAAAACACCGGCTCTAGGTAGACCTAAGGCGAACTAGCAGACGCAACAGGTCCGCGCTGCGGGGCGAGGGGAGCGGCGGCCACCGCAGCCGTCTCCCACGGTCCCCGGCCCCTGGGCGGCCGCCCGCGGGGACCTCCGAAGTGCCCGTCCTCAGGGGGGTTGTCAGCAGGACTATCCGAGTGGGTTCCTTTCTGGTTTTTGCCTTGTGGCCACCAGTCCATAGACGGAGGGTGCTCTTCACCCCCAGGTAGGAGAGAAGAAGGCGGAGGACGGTCCAGGATTGCTGGTCTCGGCACCGGGGAGAGCGGGGGTCCGTCTCCGCGCGCCCCTCTCCCACTCCGCCAACTAGTTGTACAGCCCACCGGACTGAACTTTGGAGGAACCGTCCTTTTTCTTTCCCTTTACGGTTATTGGAAGTGGGAGAGGGTGGGAGGCAGCGGACCCCGCCACGATGCTCCCGAAGAAGCCTGCAGGAAAAGGAGGGGCCGGAGAGCCGGGCTCCGAGGACCCGAGCTCCGCCCGGCAGCCTTGTGCCCGCACCGTGCCCCCAGGCGCGGTCCTGGCGGCCCTCCTGTCAGTGGTGGCCGTGATGTCTTGTCTGTACCTGGGGGTGAAAACCAACGACCTCCAGGCGAGGATCGCCGCTCTCGAATCCGCCAAAGGGGACCCTTCCATCCGTCCGCTTCCCGATTGCCTGGATCAGCTCAAAGCAGTGGTGCAAGAGAAAGTGGAGCGACTTCTGGCTCAGGTGTGAAAAGCTGGGGGATTTTGCACGTGCATAACATCTCGCACAGGCGTGATTCTGTGTATAGGACCAGCCTACCCTTGTTGTCCGCATACTTGGTGTGGCCGTGTGCACATATGCTAGGCGTCCATCCATGGTGGCATATGTTTGTACTGTATATGCACATCCTTTGATACCACCCTCTCTATGTGTCTCATCTTCCCTCACTCTTCTGGATATTTGCATGTTAAATCTATATGGAGCTCTAAAAGCGGGAAGGGTGACCAGAATGGCAGGGTGGCATTTTAGCTTCTCTTAGTTTTCCAAAGTCTCCTATGAATCTTTACCGATTTTGTGGAGAATATTCCTTGCAGAGTAACATCTGTTCTGTTATGTTCTTCAAGAGGGTTAGGGCCAGAGGTGCTATTAATATCCAAATGGTAATCACTCTTGAAAGTAAAATAACCCTGAATGTGATTTAGAACCAGTTATTTCATACATTGAATGGTCTCCTATTAAATGTTTAAAAAGAAAAAAATAGTAGCTTATTTTTTTTTGGTAAAAGATGCAGTGCCAGCGGTGTTTATGAATGCAGAGCCATTGGACTTGAGAGTTTAAAGTAATCTACAATATGTATCAAAATCAGGGGCAGCTTTAGACTGGAGTTAGGTGGTTTTCTGGAACTTGCTCTTCCAACAGAGAGGCTGTTTGGCAGTAGTTGCAGTGCAACATGATAAGCAGTTGACCTCTATGCATAAAGTATTGGCTGTTTTAAAACACATAACTTACCTAGAACTGCAACATGTTAATGCCAGGTTTTTGCATTGGCTGCATATGTATGAGCTGAGGGAGTGGGTGTTGGTAGTTGAACAATGGAGAAAGATGTTATACAAGTCCAGTAGTCTTTTTTTAAAAATTAATTTATTGTTATTTTTTTCAGCAGTCTTGATATCATGTCAATGATCATTTTCTTTCTTTTTTTTTTTTTTTAGGGCTTGGGTACTGTTACCTTTTGACTGAGTCCAAAGTACATATGTAAACTTTTTTTTTTTCCATATGTAAACTTTAGTTATGCAGGCTATCAAATGCTGGTGAATCAAGCATATAGACAGAGAATCCCTAAAGAACCTATTTCTCTCCAATGCTACTGATGACTCTTAATACCTCTTCTTTCCACCCCCTGCAGAAATCCTATGAACATATGGCTAAAATAAGAATCGCAAGAGAAGCACCTTCAGAATGCAACTGCCCAGCAGGTAAAATGGAACTTATTTAACAAGGTTGGCTCCATAGCAGAGCATTTTAAAACAAAAGTCCTGTGTCTGTCAAGTCTACCTGTAATAATAGTAAAGAAAGAATGCAGACCCAACTCACTTTAATAAAATCAACATGTCTCAGTCAAAAGAATGGCAAATAAAGCCCCAAATATTATTTTAAGCAGCATACCAAGGTCTGTTATGGGAGAACAAAAGAGAGAGAGATAATCACCATGGAAAATATGGCAGATGATGTACAAATATGAAATTCTTAGGTTCACAGATTGAAAAATATTGTTCACTTTTATTCAATTTTAATGCCTACTGTGAAAAGGACTGCAGAACACGTTAGATTCTGAATTCCCTGGTGGCAAATGTTGGATTAGCACAGGTTTCCATTTGCTTCTTTTAACATATGATTATGTTAGTAAAGGACCTTAACTTCCTCTCCTGCTTTTATTCTTTTCTATCAAAAAGGGTTCTGCATTCTTTAGCTAAAGGAGATTTGCTCTTTACCTTGAGCTTCCCATTGCTAACTACTGCATTCTCAATGACATCTCGGAAAAGGCTCTTATATTTTTTACCATTTTTTTCTCTTCAGCTTTAGGGAATTGTATTAATGACAACATATTAGTAGAAGGATAGAGAAGAGATATTAATGAATGAAATCTCTAGGTAATCATTAAATCTTCCTCAGTAGACCTCTGAGGTTCGGGAGTCAATTATCTGTAGACCTAACAATTTAGAAGCCCTTGGGGTATGTCTATTGGAAAACATCTAGTGGATTCAACTGATAAAAGCCATGGAAAACTGCCATCAGTCGAGATATTTATTTCAGATAAATCTTGTTAATGCATTTATGAACATTTACTTTCTTTTACCACCTCTTATGGGAAAGTGAGTCTCTTACATTTTCTGTAATGTCCAGGCATAAGATGCTTAGGTACTTATACATGGAAAGCTTACTTCCTATATTTTTCATATTCTGAGTTTTTTCTCCTCATGATAACTTGTTTTTCCTCACCATAACACAGCTAAATCAGACACCATATTTAGAAATTTTAAAAGTCAACTCCCAGTTGTACAGCATACAAGTTTTATTATTTATGTTCTGCTACTTTGCTGACCATAATGGAACTGTAGTGTTGGTAAATGAAGCCCTTTCAATTGAGAAGACATATACATTAGGTAACAGGGAAGCATTAATGTTTGTTTTGACATTATAGGTTTCATTCTTGCTTGTTTTAAATTGGAAAAGACCTCAGAAGTCAGAAATTCAAGGAAAACACTTTTGTAGTGCAGGAATTCACTCACAAAACCTCATCAACTTGGAGGGATTATTTAAATTCTCAATTCAGTTGGTATAGGACTTCACTGGTCATATACACTTAGAGCCCAGCATTTTTTTCTATTCAGTACTCCTGTTAGCTGCGTGACAACTAGTGTTTAATTAATAGGATTCGTAGTGAACTGGGTAAAAACTAGAGAAGTGACACCCACAGCACTGAGTTCTATTACTTGTTAACTTAACCGCTTTATTATGTTTGGTATAAACGAGCTGTTGAGGTCTAATATGTAATCTAGAAGAAACATATTATATTTAGTGTTTACCTTACATTATCTTGGAATATCATTTTGAACCATTTTTCTTCTTAACATATTAACTGAACAATAAACAGTGATTTCACCGTAATAACAAATAAACAATAAACGGTGATTTCCTTGGCTGTTTTGTTGGCCCTCAGTAATGGCTGCTTTACTTTCTTGCACCACTAGAGCTCCACATTACATCAGTTTTCATCAGGTTGTTTGAGAGGTAAATATTTCAAGATGCACATTTCACTACACACAATCAAACAGGTTTCTTGTTGGCTGATCACTATTATAGAAACACTTTATGCTTGTGGAATAATTAGATATCATCAAAATAAAGGCATTATGTGGAAAGTAGTATTCTGGGGTAAAACTAGTGATTTTAAGTTATGGTCAGTGACTATTGTTTTAGGGAATGAATGGGCTGGCCAAGAGGAAAAGGAAGGAGGTAGAGCCCTTCCCACCTGGTTTGGCTCTAACCCTGGTTTGCAGTGACTAAGAGTTGTCACCCAGACATCTGTTTGTAGGGCAGAGTGAGACAAGTCTGTGACCTCAGCTCGCTCAGTTCCTGTGGACAGATGCCCACCCCTTGAAGTTGACACTCTTGTTGACAATCCGTCACAGAGCCAATGACTGATAGCAAAGGATTAATGCTGTGTTGTTTGTGTTCACTTTAATTGCTTTTGGTAGAACTCAGTCCCCGGGAGGTTTATCCAGGTAGGCTACAAGTAAATCGTAGGATTTATAGAGGTTTTTAAAATAGATATTTTTAAGCACAGGAAGGAGCCTGTATGGGAGAGGGATGAGATAGAATATTACTGAGTAATTTCTAATTATACCAGTAGGGGAATCACTCTCATTTAATCTTCACAATGACCCCGAGAGTTAAATATTGGTGATCTCATTGTATAGATTAGGAAACTGGACTCAGAAGGTGACTAACTTACCATAGTAAAGGCAATGTCAGGATTCATGGCCACATCTGATAGAATCAAAAGCTCACAAGTCGAGTGAGGGATGGAGAATGAGTATAGGCTTTGGAGCTGAACAGTTTTGGATTAAAATCCTAGGTCTCCTATTAAATAACTGTGTGACGTTGGTCAAACTAATGAACTTTATTTCCAGTTTCCTCATCTGCAAAAAAGTAACTAATAATAATAATACCTTCCTTGTAGGATAATAATTTAAACAGTCTGGCATATTGGTGTTTGGCTATTCAATACATAGTCGCAATTACTGTTCTTTATACTGTATTATATGCTATTTAATTTTCATCTGGTCCATAGGGACACATGATAGAGGTGGGAAAACCACGGCCTGGAGATATGTAACTTGCTGAAAAGCCAATGGTAAATGACAGGTTTTGGACTAGAACATTATGATTACTTAAACACATCTATCTATAGGTTATTTATGCAGATAACCAGTCCAACTACTCAGTGTTGCAGTGCTACACCAAGATATTTATATTAGCCTACTAAATTATTTTTTTACCAAAATTACAGGAAAAACTTTTTTTTTTAAAAAATATATTTTATTGATTTTTCACAGAGAGAAAGGGAGAGAGATAGAGAGTTAGAAACATCGATGAGAGAGAAACATCGATCAGCTGCCTCCTGCACATCTCCTACTGGGGATGTGCCCGCAACCCAGGTACATGCCCTTGGCCGGAATCGAACTTGGGACCTTTCAGTCCGCAAGCCGACGCTCTATCCACTGAGCCAAACCGGTTTCGGCACAGGAAAAACTTTTGACCTTGTAGGTAAACCAGGATTGAAGTAGATAAAACCTGGCCTTAAAAAAGTATGGGGATATTTTAAAATGTCTTTACAGTTTTGATACTAGGTGTTTACAAAAAGAAATACTTTAACTTTCTGACTAATTTTCACACTGTAATATTTTAAAAATATTTAAATTTTTAATTATTATTAAAGTATAATTTATAATAATTACCCATTTTAAGTGTATAATTTAAATATTTAAAAAATAATTTTATGGAGTTGTGTAATCATCACCACAATCCAATTTTAGATCACCTTTGTCACCTCTGAAAATTCTCATTTACTTTTATATATATACTAGAGGCCCGATGCACAAAATTTGTGCACCCGTGGGGGGGGGGGGGTGTCCCTCATCCTGGCCTGTGCCCTCTCACAATCCAGGACCCTTTGGGGGATGTTTGTCTGTCAACATTAGGCGCGATTCCCCTGGGGATTGGGCCTAACTTGGCAGTCAGACATCCCTCTCACAGTCTAGGGCTCTTGCAGTTTGGGACCCCTCACTCCTGCAGCGGAGGCAGGACAGGCTCCCGCCACTGATGCTGTGCTCACCAGCCATGAGCCCGGGTTCTGGCACTCCCGCTGTGGGAGAGCTGCTCAGCCAGAGGCCAGGCTTGCTGTTCCTTAGCGCTGCCTCAGAGGCAGGAAAGGCTCCTGCCACTGCTTCTGGCTGAGCAGTGCTCCCCCTGTGGGAGTGCACTGACCACCAAGGGGCAGCTCCTGCATTGAACATCTGCCCCCTGGTGGTCAGTGCATGTCATAGCGACCGGTCATTCTGCCATTCAGTCAATTTGCATATTAGGGTTTTATTATATAGGATATGTGTATATATAATCTTTATTGTTGAGATTATTACAAACGTCCCTCTTCTTCTCCCCCCAGAGCTCCCTTCCTCCCAGTTCCCATCCCACCACAGGCCCTCGCCACCCTATTGTCTGTGTCCATAGGTAATGCATACATGCATATAAGATCCCATTTACTTTTTAAAAAATATATATATTTTATTGATTTTTTACAGAGAGGAAGGGAGAAGGATAGAGAGTTAGAAACATCGATGAGAGAGAAACATTGATCAGCTGCCTCCTGCACATCCCCCATTGGGGATGTGCCCGCAACCAAGGTACATGCCCTTGGCCGGAATCGAACCTGGGACCCTTCAGTTCGCAGGCCAATGCTCTGTCCATTGAGCCAAACCGGTTAGGGCTCCCATTTACTTTTTACATGTGTTCAGAAGCTCTATTTTTAAAATATTTGCATTAAAGAAACCCCGAAATAAAATTTAAGAAACCATATACATTGGAGCTCTGCTTAGCAGAATATTTGATTCAGCAGTAGCTGAACCATGGAAATTTGGCTGGTATCTGTGGCTTGGCCTTTGTAAAACTTGACCCTCTTCTTTGAGAATATATTGTTTTTGTTTTTTGTTTTTTTTTTTGCTCTGGTTGTAGAATTCCATTTTGGGTTCTGTTCTTGCAGTCCTACATAAGGTATGTATAAACCAGGCATATTTATGGGAGGGTTTCTATGATAAGGAGCACAGGGAGCCAGGCAGCCAACCAAATGATGTTTAGATCACAAAGGTTTCTGTGCCTTACTCATCAGTAGTGTTGCCTGCCCAGGGTATTAGGT